ACCCAAAGTCACGCAGCCTCCAGGGGCTCAGAGCAGAAATAGGTTCCCTCCAGAGGCAATCAGAAGGGCTCCATCAACAATGAAGCATGCGGGATTGGAGTAGTCAGAAAGAGCTGGTTTCAAATCCCGACTTTGTCTGTGTGATCTTGAGCAAGTCACAGTTTTCGGAGCGCCCAGCTAACTCATCATCAGAAAGGAGAAAGTAAGGCCCCCTCTTTAGGCGATTGTGAACCCGACATGAAGTCTGTCACTTAGAAACCTGGAGCAGGTAAAGCACCGAGCACAATGCCTGGCACAGAGCAGGCCCTTGACAGACTAGCCCGTATTCATGAGCTCTCTCTTTGTTTTCCCTCCGTCTCCCACCTAGCATTGTGATGACCACCTGCTCCACCTTCTTTGCCCTGGGCATGATGCCCCTCCTCCTGTACATCTACTCCATGGGGATCTATGACGGGGACCTAAAGGACAAGGTGCCCTATGGAGGCATTGTGATCTCCCTGGTCCTGGTCCTCATCCCTTGCAGCATAGGAATCTTCATCAATGCCAAGCGGCCACAATACGTGCGCTATATTGTCAAGGTAAGAGTGGGGTCCAGCATCACCTCAGCAGATCCCTTGAGACCAGTCACTCGGGCTTTCCTGTGTCTATTTCCTTCCTCGGTTTTGTTTCTGTGTGTTTATAAGATGACTGTTACTATTACAAGGTCTGCTCTGTGGGGATTCAAGCTCATGGAAATACTTTAGAAGTACTAGGAGGCAGGAGGGGGGAGTCAGAACACTGCGCACACACCGATAAGCCGTTGTCATTATGGTAACAATGCAGTTGAACTTCTAATTTAAGCACCTACCTGGAGTATAGCCAGAATGCTCCTTAGAAGTGCCCAGGGCAAGCCTTCATCTCGTATACTTTGGACACGGATCAGGAGACACCAGTCCCCGGAAAAGGTGGTTATGCTTGGTAAACTAGACGGTTGGCGAGAAACAGGAAGACCCTCAAGGAGACGCACGGACCCCGTGGTGGCCACAAGCAGCTCACACAGGACAGCAGTTGCGAGGAAGGCACAGGGCCAGGCAGTGTCTCAATGAGTCAGAGGCAGCCCAGCGAGACCTAACCACAAGCACCGGCGCGAGGTGTGATGCCAGGCACTGCCAGGCATCCCTCTCCTCAGAGTGACGCTGTTGAAACTGAGGAGTGCATAAAGGCCGGGCAGGAAGCAAGGAGAAGAAACTAGTGATGGCCGGGGTGGTCCATGAAGACTTCTGCATTCTGGCTTGAGCCAGAACAGAACGGAAGGGTAGGATTTGGTCGGCCTGGAAAGGAGGCTGGGGAGAGGAGGCAGAGGAGTGCCAGGGCCAAACGAAAAGAGGCCAGGGGAGAAGGGGCATAGGTGCCCCCACATTTGAGGAGTGGCCTGGGAGAAAGAGTGAAATAGGTAAAAGCCACAATGTATTGGGGAGCACGGTGGTCACAGATGGGGGGCATCATGCTATGTCTAGTCTTCAGAGAATCTTAGCATGCTGCCTGTCTCCCCATCAACTTTCGTAACCTTAAAGGTCTCTCCTCGGGTTTGCAGTTCACCCTCACAACCCCAGGGCCAGAGCGGCCTCCTCAGCTTCAGGAAGGGCTTAGGACGACATCCAGAAGGCATGCTGCACAGGGACTTGCCGGGAACTTGGGACCAGCAGCCTCTCCCTTCTTGCTCTCATTGCTTCAACATCTTTACAAACAACATTGACACAGATTCCCATCTTGCCTATCTTTAAGAAAAGAAAGGAAGAAAGAAAAGAAAAACCCCTCCCTGGGGTCCCACTCCCCTTTCCAGCTATCCAATTCCCTTTCCTGACCAGGCTTCAAGCACACACACACACACACACACACACACACACACACACACACACACCTCCCATTTCC